AAACACTCCCTCTCCTTGGCCATTAAATATGACTGATATTGACAGAATGATCAAATTTAGCAATCTTAGGGAAATATGATAATGTTTTGTAATTATTATTTCAATCTGGCTAATTTTCTAATTGTTTGTCGTAAATAAACATCTCAGAAAAATGTTATGGGGTTTCAAATCAGACTTTTTGTTACGAAACAGGGTATAATTTTCATACATGTCCTCTGTAGAGGACACCAGGACAAACATTATATTAAAGGGGTCACATGATGCGATTTTCAATTTTTCCTTTCTCTTTGGAGTGTTACAAGCTCTTGGTGCATAAAGAAGATCTGTAAAGTTGCAAAGACTAAAGTCTCAAATCCAAAGAGATATTCTTCATAAAAGTTGAGTCAACCACACCTACCTAAAACGACTCGTTCTAACACACCCCCACATGTCTACATCACTTAGTGGGAAGATTTGCATAACGCCGCCCAAAGGTTCACGCAAAGAAAGAAGGTGTAACTTTTATTCTCGCTGTAGTATTGTTGTTGTTGCCGCTGCCACCATGTCATGAAGATGATGTGTGTTTCATTGTGAAAGCGTTGTTTGGTCTTCCAAAAGAGGGCACGACTAGAAATCAGTGGTTAAGTTGCATTTACAACACTATTCCAGAACAGTTCAACCCAAATATTCAGATGTGTGCAGCACATTTTATGGAGGACTGTTTCCTGATCCTGGGATAGTAGACTACAATGCGGGCTGTTCTGACTCACAGACTGTAAGTACGTTTTCATATTTAAAGGATTTGCCACTGATGATTCAAACGCGAGTTTTGAGCAGTGTAGAGTAGCGCTTGTTGTTTGTCATTTCTCCGATCACAAATGCAGACATGGTTTTATGTTTACGCGACGCGATTCAATGCAACTCGTAAAAAGACAGTATAAGTCATTATAATCCATAATTATGCCCCCACTGGATGCAACAGATGCCTTGTTTATAATGCGTTTTAATGTTTTTGTCTCGTTGCTCTGGCTGGCCGGGGCACAGCATCACAGTATGGTAAGGGGCGTAACATTTCCATCACACGCTTGAGGTATTCGGCCAATCACAATGCACTGGGTAGCTGGCTAATCAGAGCACACCTCACTTTTCAGACCGATGAGCTTTGTAAAAATCGACGTGTTTCAGAAAGGCGGGGCATAGAGGAGAAACAATAATGTACAGTATGTGGAAAATAATGTGTTTTTTTAATCTTAAACCACATAAACGCATTTCATTACACCAAATACATAAAATAATGTTCTTTTTAGAAACATCATATGACCCCTTTAATCATGCATTTTGGGGAAACACAAGTCAATAGGGAAAGAAATTATAGATCAATATTCCTGTGAAATATGAGATTTTCTTATGAAAATGTTGCTACGTTATTACTCCCATTATAACAACTTTTTTTCATTATGGTTTGCCCCAAGAACACATTAATATGCAAATTAGATGCAATTTATAGATATATAGTATAGAATGGAAATATCAATTTATGGACATTTTATGCGCAATATAAAGTACAGTAGTATATCATTGTTATATCTTTCATAACATAGTTGAGAATCATCTTTGTATAAAGTTTGGCTAAAAACAGCCTGAAACTTAAAAACTGATTGGTTAATGAAAAAATAAAACATTGTTTTTGCCTATAGCCTACATGCCTTTTCGTGTCTATTTTCTTTTTTTTGAATAACTTAGTTCTGGTGTCCTCCGCAAAGGACATAGAATAAAATATATATATATTTTAAAGTTTTTCTCCATTTGTTTCTTATGCTCCAACCAATGTAATGACATAAAAATCAACAATATTCACACAAAAAAAATTTCTGATTCTCATGAGGATAACAATAACTATATTAGCATCCACACCAACACATGACAATGTTCTGTTTATTTGTAGATGCATTCAATGCTCAAGCACTGAATTAGCATGAATTCTTGTTGGCTGTCAATGTTTTTATCATCATCATGATTCCAACGCGGTTCCTGTGTCGTTTTCGTTAAAGTTGTAGTTTGGACTTCTCTATTATCTTAGAATTAGATTGATTATTAAAAACGTATAGTTATGTAGTTATCTTGGTGTGAACAGCATTAAGCCAGTATATGAACTAGAGTAGTGTTCCTGCTACTCAGTGAGCTAGCTTAGCTAAATGGTGTTTTAGCTAGTCTATGAACTTTTCTGTGTATTTGTCTGAAAGTATGGCCATCTTACTGCCTTCTCTTTCCTTTACATGCCCGGATCGATACGGGATGGCACGTTTCAACAATGGTAACTGTTTGTACTGATGATTTTTTATGGGTCTTGATTGCACAAAGTGCTTCTCAACTAATGGGTCATGACCCAAAATTGTGTCTCAGGGCTGTTTTGATAAGGTTGTGGACAGCAGGGGGAAAACAACGCTAAAAGCTAATGATAAAAAGCAGTTTTGGGACTGTGAAGGTTACCACTCGAGGTCCTGAAGCAAAACCAGTTGGGAATCACTAGGTTAAAGGAATCCAGTCATCCCTAGTTAGTGAAAATACACATGCCAACTATTGAACCTGTCTTCCTTGCTTCACTTAACAGGCATGTACCGTTATTACAGAGCAATTCTACAAACCACCTGCTGTTCCTCCCACAGAACAGAATGTATTGTGATGATGTGTTTTCTGTGTGAGGAAGATGGCTGAAATATTTGGTTTTGGAGATGTCAGTGAGTAACGTTGTGTGGTCATTGACTCCAGATCAGTTGCTCCGAATCAGATTTGAGGGGTTCGATCAGATCAGGGAAGACTGGGGAATGTGACCAAAGCGCTGACCACTTTGGTGTTTATTCATTTAATTTGATGCTGCCATCTTGTGGCTATTTATTGTTAGTGGCATTGTACATTGCAATGTTTTTATGGTTTGTGCTAATACTGTTGAAATGAGACCATTAAATCTTGATTACGGTCTCAGATCCTTAACAGCTTTGTCACACCATCTCAAGATGCAAATGTAATCGATTAAACAAACCATACTCAAAGGAAATTAGTTTAAACATAAGGGAAAACTAGAAACTAAATATTTTGTTATCAGTTTCTGAGATTCTGGGGCACCAATGAACCATAATGCATATAGAGAACAAGTGGACACAGTGGTAAATGTTCTGTGGCCGATCTGTCAAAGTGTGTCCAAAGGCTCAGCTTAAAATCATCCAGGAGGCCACAGTGGATCCTAAAAAACTCTTCCAAAGAAATGTGGGCTGGGAGAGGAGCAATGTGAAAACCACTGCTAACCAAGAACATAAACGTGTTACACCCTGATAAAGGGGGAAAATAGACATTAATAAATGAAGACACGGACTCGTGCTGTTGTCTCTGCGTCAGTCTGTATTGGCTGTGTGATGTCTCTTTTTCATCAACAAATATTACTTGAATAACAGAACTGTGAATAAATGAATACATTAGTACATTAAATCACATCAATATGTGTCTGAAGCCAATAATACAAATACATCACTTCTTCTATAACATTCATAACTTAACGCAGTTCTGTCTGTGTCCTCTTTCAACTGCAAAATAAATGAGTTATTCCCTTGTGATGATAACAATACAGTTCTTTTGTGTTCAATATCAATTGATTCTTCAGTAACGATTCAGAATGAGAAAACAATTCAAAGTTCCAACTCGATAAAACACTATTTCAACAATCCATTATAAAACACTGAACTCATTATGAAATGCACAAAAAACGAGCTTCATTACGCATAACAATTCACTTTCAATTGACATTTTAGAAATATACCCTTCTGTTCCACTTAAACCACTGTGAGATACGTCTCATTTAGTTTTCTCCACCCTAATGTTTAGCATGTTAAGCATGCCGATTAGCATAGGTAACATTACAGTCTTTGTTTGCATCAAACACCATGCTTTCGCATATATTCACGGAAATAACCAGTCTCATGACTACTATATCACTTTAACTCATTATGAAAATACACTTATGTATTTCATACCTGATAAAGGGGGAAAATAGACATTAATAACTGAAGACACGGACTCGTGCTGTTGTCTCTGCGTCAGTCTGAATTGGCTGTGACTCACAGCACAGCTCGCGTCAGCCACAACCTGCAACCTTCGATCTCTCCCTTGTGGACACTCAACAATTACACTTAAATCATATTGAGTTAAACTCTTTTTTTTCTTTTTCTTTTTTATTACAGTTGAATCACATTGATTCCGTCATTTATATGATAATTTTGATCTTTGATCTTTTTAACCTCTGCAAATGCTCATCTCTCATCTGCCAAGAGCACCTGGCTGATCCCCAAGACTTTAGGAAGAATGTTCTGCGAGTCAAAAATGGAACGTTTTGGATGACATGCATCCCATTATGTCTGGCATGAAGTTAAAACAGCATTCCACAATCTAAGAGCACCTTACCAACAGTCAAACGTTGTGGTGCCATTATGAGAATGCCTTGCTTCTTCAGAACTTGCCATGATTGGTTTAATGGTTAAGTGAAATTGTGAAATCAAAGAAAATAAATAAAAACCCTTATGAAATATTGATGTGGTGGAGCCATGGTGCAGTGTGACTTTTATTTTGGAATTAATATGAATTAATTAATAAAATGAATAGAATTAATATAAATTATGCTTTTTTTTTATTCAGTTCAATGTCTTTACGGTTGCTTTTGATCAATTTAATGTGTCCTTGCTGAAAAAAATGGGGGAAAAAACTAACTTTTAAATGGTTTCTTTTACATATTTCATAATTGAACTTTGTTTATTGAAATGCTTCTTTAGCTTGACAAATGTTCAAAAGTACAAATATTGCACAGTCTTTCAATTAATATGCATAATACTCAATGATTAATTATAGTATCCTATTGTTGTTGATTGAGTGTATTTCTGTCAGTATTGTGGCTACTGCTGATACACTTTTGTAGCCTGTGAGTGATCTAGGACTCAATCTCTTTCTCTTTCCATGCATGTTTTGTTTTGCTGCAGAGGATGATGTAGATCTGGAGGCCCTGGTGAATGACATGGCCTCTCTTTCGTCCTATGAGAGCATCTATGCAACCTGTGGGACACAGCATTCAGACTCCACCCCACTCTTGCACCGCAATGATGGCAGTGGGCTCCATGGTAACAGAGTGGCCCCACTGCCACGGGCCCCTAGTAATAAAGTGACTGCCCCCCACTCTCCTACCCAAAAGCTCCGGCGATCACAGCCAATGCACATACAGGCCGTCAGGTAATGTATATGCACACATAGAAAAGTATAAGTGTGTGTGTGTTTTAACTGGTTACGGAAACCTGAGAACATCAGTGATTTCCTGACCTGGAAAATCATGCAAATTTTAAAAGTGAATTACTTTTGTTTTACACTATTGTAAGAAAAAATACAGTATAAAAAATACAGTAAAACTGTAATATTGTGAAGTAAGTCCTATGAGAGCATCTATGCAACCTGTGGGACACAGCATTCAGACTCCACCCCACTCTTGCACCGCAATGATGGCAGTGGGCTCCATGGTAACAGAGTGGCCCCACTGCCACGGGCCCCTAGTAATAAAGTGACTGCCCCCCACTCTCCTACCCAAAAGCTCCGGCGATCACAGCCAATGCACATACAGGCCGTCAGGTAATGTATATGCACACATAGAAAAGTATAAGTGTGTGTGTGTGTGTTTTAACTGGTAACGGAAACCTGAGAACATCAGTGATTTCCTGACCTGGAAAATCATGCAAATTTTAAAAGTGAATTACTTTTGTTTTACACTATTGTAAGAAAAAATACAGTATAAAAAATACAGTAAAACTGTAATATTGTGAAGTAATATTGCAATTTAAAATACATTTTTTGTTTTAATATATTTTAAAATGAGCTCGATTTTCAGCAGCTGTTACTCCCGTCTTCAGTGTCACATGTTACTTCAGAAATCATTCTAATATGCTGATTTGCTGTTCAAGAAATATTTCTTATTATCAATGTTGAAAACAGTTGTGCTGCCTAATATTTCAAGGTTCTTTGTTATAGAAAGTTCAAAAGAACAGCATTTCATTGAAATTGATTAAAAGTAACAGTAAAGACTTTTACATGCACAAATAAAATGTATGTAATGCAGTTGAACCTGAAGAAAAGCATTCATTTATTTAAAAAATATTGCTGAACTCAAAACTTTGTTCACTTTTAAACACTGCAGTGTAGTGTCCTGAGATATTCTGTAATATTTCATAATTTCATCAATTTATGTGAAATTACGTATATTCATTGAAAATAAATAGGTCAAAAGGTGTCGGAATTACATGCTGTAATTATCAAGAGGAATATGAAAATCCACTGATTATGATGTGAATTTAATTTAGTGCAGTTTAATGATACAAAAATTCTAATGTTAAACGTGCTATGTTATGACAATTAGTTGTTTTATTAAAATGTTGTGTTTTTTATTAAAAAGTAATTTAAATGATTTAAAATACAGTAAATTATTACAAATAACATTAAGTAATATATATTATTTTTATTCATTTATATATTTTTTGTTTTAAATAGTAATCAGTGGGTTTTTTTTGTATTTAAGAAACAGAATTCATACTCCTTCCTAAGGCTCTATTGATTTATATGTTATGTATGTGTGCTACATTTTAAAGTAATCTTTCTGTTCACAGTCATAATCTTTTCTCTCCCCAGAATCCTCTCAGACTGCATGTTCTAATCAGCTCTTTTACACATCACCTTTCTGCAGGGCTTCTGTATCGTTCGTTCGTCTTTCATCCACTCTTCTCTGATCTCTATGACAGCAGGGTGTAGTTTCACACGCATGCACACACCGAGATGGGTTCACTCAGAGGTTCCCGTCTCTACACACTCACACAGGCACACAGTCTTTCGTTCTGACTCGGCCATGAACCCTGAACAACACACCCCCTGCTACGGTTCGGAATTTAAAAATTCCCTCAGTTATTATGGTCGCTCCAACTGCGCTGAGGCAGTCATGTATTATTCCTGGTCTTATTGATGTAGATCAAAGACCCGAAGACGAGTTTAGCATCTGCAGTGTATGTGTCTGTCTGCTGAACTCTGCCAAACACTACGAGAGTTCATGAACCGGTTCTCAATTGGCTAAGTGGGTTTCAAATCTCTCGGTTTCATTCATATATTCTGTAGTGGAATCCGTAATGCAGCAGTGAGAATTTCATGCGGATTCTTCTGATTTATTTTTCATTAGCCTATCGCTTTACAGCACTGAAGTTTTCAGGGAACTTTAGGGCTTTAATTCCCTGCTCAGTTTCATATTGATTAAAACATGGATGATATCGGGAATACTGCATGGTTAATGAACCGATGAGATCTTAATGAAATGAGAAGATGTTTACTAGTAATGAAGAAGCTAGATGTTTTAGTGTTAGGAACGGTATGCATTTTAAATCATTTTAAATGTGCATTCAGTACAAGTACAGTCTTTTTTTTTTTTTTTTCTTGTCTCTCTATATCACCCCCCTTGTAGGCGACTTCAAGAAGAAGAGTTGCAAGTTCGTCCGGCGTCCTTGCCAGCTATTCCGAACCCTTTCCCTGAGCTCTGCAGCCCCTCGGGATCTCCTGTGCTGAGCCCTGGATCTCTGCCACAGCCATCGGAGTCACATGTAAGACTTGAAAACTGACACTGCCCTCTGAGCCCTATAGCTATTATCCATCAGACACACATGAGATGCTACATGAGTGATTTATTGCAAGTATGAGACTTCTCTGTTTCAGTATGTCTGGCATTCTCGTATTTTCTCACGTATGTTCATTCGAGAAACCTGGAGGTGCATATTGAGGTTAAGAGAAACTAAAATGATCGGAGATTGACATTCTATGCCATTTGTCTGTCTCTACAACTAAAAACTAGCCTCGCCCTACCTTGTATTATGGATGCCAATGGTACATTGTTTGTTTCAAAATCTAGTGAGCTGCATTTGTAGGTAGTATTTTAGGCATCAGGGGCCCATGTGCTAAAACTGTGCTCTTACAATTGGTAGCAAAGTTATGGCGCTATTATATGATGTCTTTATATTTACAAGTCATGAAGATGAAAGAAATCTGTTAGCACTTTTTCTACAGTACTGACATTAAAAAATGCACTATTTCACTTAATATTTGTGTGCTACGGTATGTAGTTTTTCTCTTAAAGTAGCATATAAAGTCATTAGCTTAGCAGCATGCTAACATCACGCGTTACGTTAGTTAAGCAGATGCTTAAGACCGAAATATACGTCCCCTGCCTCAGCGGTCTAAAGGTGCTCATCAGTGTCAAAATGTTTGAGATGGCCAATCAAATCAAAGAAGGTGGACTTTATGTACTCTGCTTTACCGAAGCAGAGTGCAAATGGATTTTTTTTCACATTTTTGGGGTTCTCAGATATGAAGTTCTGAAAAGAAACTGGCCGGTTTAGGCATATTAAGCATTCGATGAACAGTGAATGTGCGTATTTAAAAAAAAAAAAATATATATATATAATTTGCATATATTTCAAATGCATTACTTGACAATAGATTCTAGTTCTTTTACTACTATTTTTCTTTTTATTTATTCCCCCCCCCCCACAAATGTCATGGATATGACCTTGTTCTGAAACACAACCATGGGTTAAATTGAGCTAGTATGATCCAAAAATCTATCTTGCGTATCCAGAACTGTTTGTTTTCATATTGTTGTGTAGAGTATGTTTCAGGCCTTGTGCTAATTCAGAAGCACTATTTTTCCCGTAAGGATTGTTTCAAATCAGTCACTAGTGAGGTTACATTTCAACTTGGATGCTGCCTTAGAAGGTAACTGCCAATGTAGACAGTGGAGCAGCTCGATAGGTTTTTAGTGTAGATCTAATGACTCTCACAAAGCTTATCAGGTTGCAGTCGTACAGAGCGTTTCCTCTTTAATCTCCTGTACACCCCACGCACACTCTTTGGACTTCACCGGGTCAGCCAGAGGGATTGTTTGTAAAGACTGTCCTTTTCAAGTGTGCAATTTTGGTGTATAAAGAGTGCTCTACCAGATGATATGTGCATTTGTCAAGCATTGTCATGAGTGTGAAATCCTGAACGGAAAAGTGTCAGTCTCTTTTTTTTGGCCCTCGACCCCCTTCATATCTTTCCGTCGCATCCTCTGAGCGGAGACTCTTTTCTTGGAAATGAGAGTTGCTTTCCTTTCACACGCCGCTTGCGCTTCCACTTACGAGTGTGTGTGGATGTGTATATTTGTCCAGGTCTGTGCCAGCAGTCAAAGCCCTTCCTTCCTCTTTCCTATCCTCTCTGTCTTTTCCCACAATGCCTTGCCTTAAGCTCCCTTTCCAAAGGAAAAAAAAACTATTTATGCTTGTTGGCATGCACAAGCACATTAGAGAGATCATGTTTTGTACGTCCTCTCCCTGAAGCGTTCCTGGAGCTTTGAGAAGTGAAGTGTCATTGTGGGATGGCCCCGTGTTTCCAGTTTTTCACTGGGAGTGACCTCACCGCGGGTGGGGTGACATCTTGTGATGTCCTGTATGTGCTGCCTGGCTCTATTTCTGTCTTTTCATGTGAATATGATCATTTTGTTGTTGTCAACACCCTGAAGACAGTCTATCCATCACTCTTTTGTCCAATTTCATCAGCTGCTATAGACTACTACATTTCTAGACTACTACATTACTAAATTTTTTTCCATTAGAATTTTTCTAGACTCTGTTTTAATGGGGAAATTAAATTGTATTAATCAAAATGCATGTCTGATTAATTGAAATTATGACACTTACACAATTTAATGGCAATTTATTAAAAGTTACATTTAAAAAAAAAAACATTTTTTTAAGGCCCTATGAAATGTTTTATTTTTTTCCTCAAATTCATTTTTTTAAAAAACTGAATTCTGTGCTTTCCATTAGTTTCTGGGTTCCATTTAAATGGTTTCATTCAATGTTAGTAATCAAAAGCATCTGTAATTAATTAATTTTATAAAAAATAATTTATTATTATTATTATTTTCTTCAGAAATACTGTGTTGTGTATTTACATTTTTGTGGTAAATATTTTTTTGTGGCAAATATTCCTTAGATTATGTTTTAATAATAATTTTAGTAGTAGTACTATCATTACATTAAGTAATATATTTCTGTCACAGTTTCTTCAAGTTAAACCAAACTTTTCTTTTGACGGGTTCATTCTTCATCCAAATTGGCAGATGAAGCTGAATTGTTGTCATTTGTGAATATTTTCTTCAGTTTTGATGTGTATTGATAGAAAATAGAGTAATTTAAAAATGCAGTATATTATCACCCAGTATTTCTGTGTGCTATGAATTTTGGTTTACTTAATTTGGAGATTTAGCTTCACAACATCCCCATCAGTTTCTTTGTGCTTTGCAAACATGCCGTCCTGTTAATTGTATGTGCGTTTTTCACAGTGTCGGTCCACCATAAAGAGCATTTATGCTAGCATCCACTATAGTGCCTATTGTGGCAGTGCTGAGAACACACTATGTACTTTACGCTGTAGTGTGAGTGGTAACTGTTGAGTCATTTCAGGTATACCGACTACAGTAAGCCTGGAAAGGTTTAGTTCTTTTGAACATACATCTGGAAGAGATTATTTGTCTAGACTAGGGCCATAAGATTGTTTGGAATGACTTGGACTTGTTTGAAAACATGGTCTTCCTCCCTTTTTGTGCTTTTGCCCTTGAGTGAGTTAGAACAGCCACAAAAAAAAATCTGAAAACAGGACACTGCTTTAGCTTTGAGGTTGAAGCCAAGGCAGTTTGCTGAGGTAAGAGTTCCGTTGTCAAGATGTATTGGACATCCTGAACGGTCATGTTGATTTTGGTCCCAAAGTTAAGTGATTAAAATTAAATGAATAATGTGTTCTTGTATTCAATTATTTATTTATGCATCCTAATTATCAGAAAAGTAGAAATTGTTCATATGGATATAATATAAACTACAATTTTTTTTAAATAAGTCTCTTAAACTCACCAAGACTGCATTCATTTGATTGCAAAAGATCACAGTAACAGTAATATTGTGAAGTATTATAACAATTATAATTAACTGTGTATTTGATATATTTAAAAATGAATTTTTTTTGCTGTGATGGCAAAGCTGAATTTTCAGCAGCCATTACTCCAGTCTTAAGTATCAAATGATCCTTCAGAAATCATTCTAATATGCTGATTCACTGACTTTCTGACCCCAAACCTTTGAATAGTAGTGTATATGAGTATATATAATAAAAATTATATATACAGGCAGATGTCTGTCATTAGAATAGATTTTAATTCCTTCTCAGAGTTATTCATAAATTTGTAGCAATGATACATTTATCGTGGGAACATGTATATTACATTATAGTTATTATTCCTGGAAATTAAATTAGAAATGGTTTATATTTGAAACAATCATATGGTGCTGGCAATTTGAAGATAATCCAGTGAAATTTGTGATTTGTCACTTTTTATTTGGAACTTCATGGACACAAACCAAAAGATAAGACCATTCATAACAAACGAATACATCTGGCATCAGTGAACAAACATTCACACTACGTAACACTTGAGTGAGTAAAAACAGTAAAACTGATATTATAAACGGACTCCAGACCCTGATTCTAAACCATTTTCCAAGTCAAATAGCCAATGTACAGATGAAGTCTAATATTAATGTGACAAGTTACACCTGAATAATGTACAGCCGCCATTTCCACTGATATCCCAAAGTGTATAGCAAAATCTCTACTTTCTACAATCACACTGTATATACTGTTACACCACCCAGCCCTAATATTTCTGACCTTTGTTCATATACTTTGTTCCCAAAAGGTCTTACTAAGTTGATGTCAGTTATGATGTTTTTTAGAGAGTTTGAAGGTCACACCAGTAAGCATGTCTAATTATGGTTGGCAATACTTTTTGGGCATAATTTTGTAAATTATATTACTACTGAAGAATGCTGTAGATGGGTTATGCACACATGTGGTTTCTTAATGATCTCATGAGGATTGTCTGACCCTTAGTGACCGGCGGGCATCAGACAGAACTGGCCAGGCTTTGGCGTGCATGACATAGGCACAACACGCATTGCTCAATGTAGTCTCTTGCTGAGCGTGGGAATGGAATAAATGCTGCTGCTGTGTTTGTGTCGTGATTATAATCAGGTGCTTGAGATTTCTGTCAGTATGCGTCACAAAGTTGGAATCTTTTGTAATTTCTCGTGCATGCTCCACAGAGGTCTTTCTGTATGTGTGTTTATCTGAGCGTCTTTGTATTTATACTGGCACTGCCCTCAGACTAGACAAGATTACACTCTGCCTGCATATGCAACTGAAATCATACGCTCTTACTTAAATACACACACTGTAAAAAACAAATCCGTAAAATTTATGGTAAAAAAAACGGCAGCTGTGGTTGCCGGAATTTTACCGTAAAAAATACGGTAGTAACGGTTTAGGTTTTACGGTTTTAACTTAAATTGACAGTTAAATACCGAAATGTCATTAACTGATATAATGTTAATATACCAACCTTACTGAAGTACTGAAATCTGTTTTGTACCTTTGTAATACACTGATAACCACCAAATGGAGGTGGTGATGAGAAAGTCACATGATGAACCAAAGCCCATCACAAGCAGCTTTT